ATCTAGTGAAAGAAAGAAGTTGGAAAACGTAGAGGCCAAAGAAAATGTGGAAAATCCTTTACCTGAACCACTGTGATATTTACTTAAAATCACACAGCAGGGCTCATCCAGGAACAATCCTGAAAGCAATGGATGTTGTTATTTCAAACTGCAGACAGCAGGAATCAGCTGGGAACAACCATGAAAGGAATGAGATCTTATAGAGCCATGAAGAACATAATTCCTTTAGCAAAGTCGTTACAAGCATAGGCATTATTTAATCCACAGCCAGCAAGATTTATTCAGTGAAACCATTAAGGAAATTGGAATCATTAATTAAACACTGCGACTGGGAAAGCTCATCTAGAGAAGCTTCAAAGAAGGTGGGACTCATCCATATTTCTTGCATTAGGCAGGCAATCTCTAGTTTGCTCATAAAAAGGTGGAAATTGTCCAATTTGACTTTAAGAGCAGACAAAAAAATCTTCAACTACTACATTGCTATATAGTAGAATGAAAAGCCTTTGAAGCAAAAAGTAATCACATTAGAAAGACATGGCAGCAGAAATAACATTGCCAGAAGATGTAATTTCAGACATGGTCCAAATTAAAACACAGAGTTGGAAATATTAGATGAGAACACAATTCTCAAGACAGAACTAGGAACATAGGAACAGGAGTAAACCAGTCAGCACCTCAAGCCTATTCCATCATTCAATGAGATCATGGCTGATCTGTGGCCTAACTCCATACACCTGCCTTTGGCCCATATCTACTTTTGCTTCACAAAAGAATTATCTAGCTCAGGTTTAAAATTAACAACTTATCCAGCATCAATTGTTGTTTGTGGAAGAGAATTCTAAGACCATTTGTATATGTAAGTACTTCCTAACAGCTCTCCTGAACAGTCTGGCCCAAATTCTCAGACTATGCCACCCAGTTGTAGCTTCTGAGATCAGAACCTGAATGAGCAAACACACTTCAGTGTACAAACAGGAGTAAACCTAATGATGTTATACCTTACCAAGGTGGGAAATAAGCAACAAACACCTCTGATAAGGTTCTAAATGCCTTTAACAATTATGATGACCCAAAGATAGCCTTTGAATGACCTCTACAGATTAGTGGTAAAATGGGACTAGGGTGATTTAAAAGGTCAAAAAGAGACTCAACTGTTGGAATTGCTGATTGGGCTGTCAGATTTATTATACTCAAAACATGACTTAATTCAAGACAAAGCCACCCAAATGACGAGTGAAACAGAGGTCCAGAAGCAGCACAAGTCAATCCGAACAGGAGAAAATCCAACCCCATCATAAGATTAGCAGAATCTGTTCAGCCCTGAAAGTACAAATTCCTAAAGCTACACAAAAAAGCAGTAGAGTTGGACAGATAGTTACTAACAGTCATTATTCGCGTTACGGAGCAAGGAAACCTCACAGGTAGAAGCAGTGACAAATATTTAAAAGTAGAGAATGTTTTATTTGTAAAGCAATGGGTCACTTATGGCAAATGTGCTGGTTGTAGGACATAGTCACAAAGCAATAAGTCAAATAGATACTCATAAAAGTCATGAGGTAGAACAGGGTATGGTAGAAGAAACAAATGTATTCCTTGGAGAAATAGGTGATCCAGGCCCAGCTATTCGGCAACAGTATTTGTTTTTGTCAAGGTGTATCTCTTAAGTTGAAGCATAATACAGGGGAAAGAATCACTGTATTATCAGCTGGACTCCCATGAGAAAGAAATGATATTTACAGCCTACAGCAGTGTAATGGCTTGGTCCAAGAGATATAGCACTTAAGATTAAATATGTGCAACAAGCAACCCTGCCACACAAAGGGTATCAGATAACAGAAAACCTGTAGGTAAGAGGAAGGGCCAGCTTCATAATCAAGAATTCTCACTCTTGAACATGAATACATTTTGGACAGATCACCTTCAAACAGGGGAAGGAGTCAAATTAGTTAAAGGTCAAGAAATCACTGGTCAAGGGACAGCAATTCTTTGTCTTTTTTTTAAAAAGCAATTCAGAATATTGTCAACAGATAAAATTACCCACTTCAGAGATTTAAGGAACTACAAAAAGAAAGTGCCTGTTTCAAGCCATCCTTGTGAAGGAAATTTGAGATTAAAAATTCTCCAGGTATTACTGTGGGGCAATTGCCTGTTTCAGCAAGAAATAACTCGTAAGAAAGCAATCCTGGAGATAAAATGTCCTGCAGTTTAAAAGGACTTTTAGACCTCTTGCTGTCAGGAAAGAATCAAAAGTCAACAGTCTTCAGTCCAGAGATATACCAATCTTTAAAATCCAATGAAACCATGTTCTGGGACCACCTGAATTTGTCAAATCATTTACTTTTGGGGAGATGGGATAGTGGTAAAAGTAACTGAATTACAGGAATAATCACATTAATGCAACTTGTACATAATTTCTATAACCTTAAATAGTTAGAAGTTACAAAGTGTAAATGTGCAAAGTGACTTGGGTGTCATTGTCAATAAGTCACAAAAGGCAGGTGCGTCAAGTTATTAGGAAGGCTAGTGGGATTCTGGCCTTTATAGCAAGATGATTGGAGTACAAATAGTGAAGTCTTCCTTCAATTGTGCAGGAGTTTAGTTAGACAACACCAGGTGTAGTGTGCACAGTTTTAGTCTCACCTCGAAGATATTACTGCCATAAAAGGAAGTGCAATGAACGTTCACCAGACTTGTTTCCTGGGATGGTAGGACTCTCCTATTAAAAGGGACTGGACAGACTGGATCTGTTTTCTTCAAAATTTCATGGAATTACAAGTGATTGCATTGAAACCTACAAATACTTTAAGGGATAGACAAGATACATACAGATGTTTTCTCTGGTTGTGGAGTCTAGAACAAAGCATGCCTAATGAAATGGCTTAGCAGGTTTGATGGGCTAACTGACCTACTACTACTCCTATATTGCAAGAAACAGCATTTTGTTTTAAGACAGGAGTCTCTTCTAGTTGGAGGAAAACCACTTGGTATATCACACAAGCCCTGTGTATTCCTACGAGGAAAGATGGTGTCAGCAAATCTACCTAATAGATTAATCTTACAACTCACTCATTGACTTGCACTAGTGCCTGCTCCATTGCTAGTACTCTTCTGCCACTCTTTGGGAAAGCTCACCTCATTTTAACAAGACCTCCAGATAACAGCTGAGAGATCCTGCAAACAGTCTTCCAAGTCTTCTTTTCATGCTGGGGTTTCAAAAATACAAGTACCACAGAAGCCTTATAATTCATGCCATAATCTCTAATTAGAAATCCTTCAGCAGAATGGATAGTAAATCCATCCTGCCTAATTATTCATGGAATCTGTTGTTAGGATGCTAATGTTTTCTTTTTGAGAACACCTTGTCCACATACACTCAGAAAACTGGGTCCCTGTCAAAAAATGGCGGTGCATTTCAGCAGGAACCAAGTGGACAAGATTCCACGCAATGGTTCCAAGGAAACATTTTGCCATTCTTCCAATCTTTGTAAACTTCATCCAAGAACTCTGCTGCTTGAATCTTCCACTAAAACCAGCTGCTCCTTCACCTATATGCTCTGAAATTATCCCCCAACCCCAAGAATTAAATTATAAAATTTTTGTTTCAATCATCCAATGCATTCAGAGGTGCTGAATGTACCTACTACCAATATGGACTTTAGGTTTGTAAACACAGTGCGCTCTAAATGGCATGATACTGCTTCGTGACGACTATTTTCAAGTTAGTTAAACTGGGGTGAAGTGAGAGAGATCTCACAATTAGAACAAAAATGGCAAGAGTTAACACAGAGATAGTAGGAACTGCCGATGCTGGAGAATCTGAGATAACAAGGTGTACAGCTGGATGAACACAGCAGGCCAAGCAGCATCAGAGGAGCAGAAAGCTGACGTTCTGGGTCTGGACCCTTCAGAAATGAACACAAAAGTTAACACAAGTTGTTTTGGCAGCTACTCAAGGCTTTACATGAGGTTAGCTAATAGCTACCTTCAAATGAAGCCCATGTCAGATTCATTTCCACCTAAAATGCATCATCTAGCACTCAAAAAAAAATCCAAAGCATTTCACAAGCTCAAAACAATGGATGTATAGCACAAGTTGTTCAGAATTTAATTATTTCAAGAATATTGGTTCAATGACTGTACTGCTGAAATATCAACCTTCCTTACCAAGCTTTGAAACTGTTGGGTTTAGAGAAGCTGCTTCTTCACAGGTGGGGGAAAATATGGCATTAAAACTTGTAGTCAGGTTTTGAATATTGCTAGTGCTTGCAAATATTTGGGTTTGAAAATGAGGCATTGGCTCAGGGAATGAATAAAAAAAGAACATGATTAAATAATTCAGGATCTTTAAAAAACACCCTAATGGAACGTGGATGTCACTGGCTGGACCAGCATTTATTGCCTGCCCCTAACTGCCTTTGAGAAGAATAATTTCTGGCTCAGTGTAAAAAAAAATACAGGATGTACAAATGACAATTCCTACTAAGAATACCAAAGATCTGAGAAACATATTTGGCTAGCTACTAATATGATTAAACACCAAGTGTGCTACCAAGATTGCAGAAAAATGCAAAACAAAGTTAACATGTTCCACATTTGCACCACAATTAAGTATAAATAACTGAAATTTAATAATTCCAAAAATACAAATATATTCATTATGCTGTAAAACAGACTGCCCAGTGGGCAAGTACTTTGCATTGTGCAACAGTGGCGGATATTTTTACTTGCTAACGTGATGTTAGTAGGGTGCGTGTATTACTCAATCTTTGACAATTGTTAAGTGATGACCGTTGGAAAACGATTGTATACTGATGTCACATTAGGCTTAACTGAAAAGTTCTGTTGGACAACAATCTTACCAAAATTCAGGTTCACACATGAAGAATGGTTTGAATATTGGGGGCTTTCAGTCCCCATAATTCACTGGCTTAGTAGGGTGGAGAAGATCACACAGGAAGTTAAGAAAAATACATGGAATGATAAAATTACACAGTTAGGAGTCATTAGATGCAATTTCTTTATTTGAGCTTGCAGGCACTGGCATTAAAATTACATTTAACTTCTACAAGAAGAAAAGTATATAAACCATTATTTCCACCCCTCCCTGCGTCCAGTAACCTTACTCGGAATAGGAGTCAATTCAGTTCCAGAACTAAAAGTGGCAATGGCAGCAATGAAACCTATTTCTTTTTCCAAGTTAACCAGCATTAAAAAGTCACACAAAGTTATAAGAAAAGCCTTTGCACCACCGTTATTAATTTTATGTAGTTCAGAGGTCCAAACTGTTCTGACAAGTGTAGTTTAGTCCAATAATGTAAATTTGCCTCCTCTGTCCATTGGCCAAGATTTGCAAGCATAGCATCATATAATGTTTATTCAGTTGCACATTGCTTTGTTTACAGTTGCTTTTTATACCCTACATTCATGAATATATCACGGACTCAGGTGCAAGTATCCTGGAGTGGAACAAGCAAATTTACACTTTGGACGTATAACAGCAATAAAAGATCAACGTAACTCCAACATACAAATATGGAGATTATTCTTAAAGTAAAGTACTAACAATTTCTAAATTAATAATTTTAAAACACATAACAAAAGTATTTACAACATCACTATAAATTAACTGTGTAAAGGAAATTATATTAGATTGGGCTGCATTTCAGTTCTCATTTCCCCAACAAGGTAGACTGCATTTGCTAAACCCCAAAGATCTGGAAGGCAGCTACTGTCAAACAATTCTTGAATAGTGTCCACATGGATTAAAAACACAGTTGAGTACCTCTGATGCTACAGTCACTAGGTTGTGTATTTTTTTAAAATACAAGATAAACTTAACCGTTTTGAAGGAGCCTGGTACAAATGACATGGAAACATTGCCCTTATTGCATTCACCAGTTTGAAATGCCTGCAGATAAGTCTAAACCATAAGTATTTAGCATCAACTAAGCCAGATTTTACACATTAGTGAGAGATCTCCCATTTTGAATTGGGCTGATATTTTTCAACACAGACTTCAAAAACTAAAAGCACAATGATTTATCAGAACTGGGCATTACAGTTTACCATACAATGTTTGTATAAAGACGTTCTATAAAAACATACTGCAAGAGATTTAAACTTGCAATTATATTAATCAATACCTAAAAGAATTTTTATGAACCTGTGTGACTCAAATTACATATTTCAGCAGTTAAGGTCTCAAAGTCCAAAGCTGCTTTAATGAAATTTTACAAGTACACACTAAAAGCTACTAATAAATTTTCTGGGAAAGAAAACTTGACAGCTACAAAAAAACATCAACAAGGACATGTCCAGCTATGCAACTGCAGAAAGGCATTGATGGCAATCGAGGGGAAGCCAGTAAGATGTAACTGCTGTCCTGATGAAAGGATTCATTGAGGCAAACAGCATGGGAGATAAGTTAGAAAGTCTGCAGAAAATTGTCACATTTATGAGTTATTATTTTAATTTAAAAAACTGAAAGATTCATTTTCATGTCATAAGGCAGCCAGAACACTATGACAGCCACTCAACAGTCACTTTAAGTGGGATCTCAAATGCATATTAATATTAGAAAATATGTAAGACCCCAGTTTAATCAAAGGACTTAAATAAGAAACGTTCACATTTTATTAATTATTTCTCAGAAGTGGAAAGTGCAACTGCTCAAGGTGTTTATTATGCAATTACAATAAGAAATCTTATTTGACTAAATTATTTATATATTGCTTTGTGGCTTGAAATCTGCAAGTCTAAGAAACAATTCTATGTAATGAGATATTAAAAATTATGTTTGTTAACAGATGGAACAAATGTTTGAGCGGTAAATTTTTGGAGAAGAATATTTAAAGCAGTAATTGAAAAAAAATAATTGATTTGTAAAGAGACAATCATATTTTGATACATGCTATTTTATACTGCTTTACCCAACTAGTCTCTAGCAAAATACACTCAACAGGTATAAACAGCCATCAGCATCAGGGTGCTCTCTCATACCCACAGCACTTCCAAATTTTGGTAATTATAATGCACCTTCTGGTACTCATAACTAAAATAAACCAACCTTGATAACAAAATAAAATTAAGACACATTTGAAGAGTCAAGTCTAAAATTGATATTTAAATAGGGTTTTTGTCTCCTGCACAAACTGTTTGTACAACAAAGCAAGCCACTGTCAGTCACAAGCAAAGTACATGTCTGGAGCTATTTACCAAATATGTAGCAAAAAATATTCAGTATAATTTTAAGCAGCTTTATTCTTCCTGATACACACAGTTAGCTTGGCACAAGAGTACTGCAGTGTGTTTTTTTATAACAATTCACTGTTACATATTCTGCAGTCCTTGCCTTTTAATGTCTACCTTGGTAAGCAGAATTAACTGCTGAACAAAACATACATGCCAATACAAAGAAAGCATTACTTAATACAACGTATCCTATTTTCTACAGTAAAATGAAAAAAATGAACTGCACTTTGGTTTACCATGTAACCCATCCTAAGTGATCTACTTCTAAAGACTATTAAAAGAATATGCACTGGGTTACACCAACAGCAGGATTATGTCTTTTTGTACATGACTGAGGTCAGATTTTTCTGCACAGCTGCACACTGGCATAATCTCATGTAATCTGTAATGATTCCACTTTCACTGAAAGTTTACTTAGGTAAGCTAAGAGCCTGGCAAGTTTACACCTATACAAAGGTGCTTAATTTTATACAGAATTTTCAGTCCTTTCTATTCACATGCTATGTTTATGACAAAGACAGGAATGTGAACTCTAGTCTGAACAGGATAAGAATATCAAAGCCTATAACAGTACAAGTATGTGTGTGCTTGGTGTGTATCTGTCTGTATCAACAAAGTTCGGTAAGATTGTAAAATGCCCCACCCAAGACTTCAGCTCTTATTTTCTTCTAGATGTTCTGAGCTCATGAGTATTGTGCTAGGACTGGTCTCTTTAGTAGTTTCCTCTACATACTCAGAAGCAGTTGCTCCTTTTTTCTTAGTGGAGGTCACCACACTCCCCTTCTGTAGAATCTCAGTAGCTTCATGCTCTAAAACCTCAGATGGAGTGAGTGGCTCCAGCTGGATGCTGCCCTGCTCACTCGCATCAGAACCAACAGCTTCTGGTTCATCCTTACTCCTAAAAAACTGTTCAAAAGAAACATCTTCTTTGGGATCCTTATCCTGTTCTACACTTGCATCATCACCCTTGTCTCGCGTACAGTTTTTTTCATCCCCTGTACGTTTACACTTCTGCACGGTATCCTCAAGGGTTTCGCAATCTTTTGTTTCATCACAAGCAGTGCTGTCCTTAAATTCATCTTGTATTATGTCTACATTATGATCAACTGAATTAAAACTTTGAGCAGTGCTAGAAGCTGCTGGTTCTCTATCAGAGGAATCATCTTGTACCATCTCCTCAGTGTTGCTTTGCTTCTCTGTACTCAATTCAGATGACAGACCATCTGTCGGTTTCTCAGTGCTTTCATTGCTTTCTAGATTTTCAATCAAGCTTATTTTGTCTTCATGATCACTTAATTTGTCACAATTTGATAAAGGCACAGCTTCCACAGATGGACACTCAACCTCAGGTTTTAAAGGCTGATCAGTCTTCTGTTGACTTCTGTTGACAGAAAATAAAACTAACATTCAGTATTTTCAATAGTACAACCAAGAACTTACTTTCAAGTTATGTAGTTTTCTTTTCAATTTAGACGATTCTAAAACAATGGACTTTCAAGAACTGAATGAACCATATACAATCTGTTATTCACGAATTACAAAAAAAAACTTCAATTACCCATCAGAAGATAAATCAATTTCCAAACTTTCTGCATCAGCCAAAATGGGAGATGGTTGCTCCTTCAAGACAGACAAGAAAAGAAAACTTTTAAAAACTTTAAGACTGCCGTATCTTTTGATTATCATTTGATAGGAGAAGTATGCCCAATAATTGTCATTTTCTGACAAAATCTAAATTAATCAATAAGTTGAATCAAACAACATAAAAATAGAGCAAAGGAGGGCACGAATACCAAAAATATGAATTATCAAGCAATTCAAATTATCAGAACGAGCAGTCGAATCTGAATTCAGAAATTGCACGGATTCATTATTTATTTTTTGTCCATCACTGACCGTGTTTAATCAAACAATCATTCAAACATGGAACAAACAGACCCAAGTATTACAGGAATTAAGGTACTCATGTACCAGCTGTAGCATTATTAACAACCCTCAGTTGCAAAATAAACAAACAACTTAAATAATGTTTTAAATTACTTTTGATCGGCTTATCATTCTATTCTCCCAACATTTCCTTTTGGGTAGTTTCAATTTTACTTTCCCTCAGACCTCCCAAGTAATGTAAGTGGTTTAGTGATTCGCTTTCTCAGTGCTTTTTTTCCATTCATTTTGGACATAGAGCAAATATAAAAAGTTTTGTCTTCCTTGCAGATTAGTTATCTAGTCAATCAGAAGCACCACATCATACAAATGACATAATTGAAGAGCAGGCAAGACTGAGCCTACTTTTAGCTTGTAAAGTCATATCTGAGCTGAAAGCAGCTCTCTGGAGCATAAGCATACTTATCAGTGGATCAATCATCTGATAACATCCTCACTGTCTGACAACACCCACAAAAGTAAATCAGGCAGAAAATTTCAGACTAAAAGTCAATTTGCAGGCCAACTGCATTGAATCATTGCAATTTCCTGCAATTTTCCAGTGCTCTAAGAGCCAATAACTGCACGCAATCTTTGAAAGAACCCTTATTTTGGATTCTCCTATTAACAAATGTGTCTGTTATCTGTAATAGAGCTATTTACAATATATTTCGCATACAAGTAATATTCTACTCGGCAGCATATACGGGTCTGATAAGCACTGTAATGGTGCAAAACGTTGAACTTACCTCAGATTTCTTCATTTCCTCAGCTACTGCAATGTCCTCATTTCCCCTGCTGAGTCAACAAAATATTATTAGCTCTGATTTTTTTAAAGATATGGTCCCAAAATTATATAGAGAACTGCTAGTTTAAAGATCAATTTCCATGACAATGTCAATTGTTTACATTTTATCAGACATAGTAGCATGCAGCCGAGAAATCAGAGCTTTTCTGCAGTTGCTTCAGACCTGAGCTCTTTATTTCCACTTCCTTTTTTTTATGCTCTTGCCCCCTTCCTTATCTATTCTTTTGTCCAATTTATTAGAGATAGATATTAAATGCTGGCTTTGCCAGCAGCAGTCACATCCCATTAACAACTGAATAAGTCCTTTATTCATTCCACCCCTAATCAATCCCTTCACTTTCTATAGTTAAAGGGATCAGACTTGAATGATCTGGGACACAGTTAACTATGCATCACCAGATACCATTGATGTTCATATTGCAGATGCATAAAAAGGTTTTTGCCCTAAGGCCTTCCCTACGACACACACTTTCCTGCGCCCACCCCCTCCCAAGTTAAAATCAGCACTTCTGCCTTGGGCTGAAATTTAATCCATAAGTGTTGATAGCATTCCTGCTTTAGAAGTTCCCAAACTGACTGCACTTTCCATCATTTCCCTACTCATGTAGCTACTTGGATTCTCCTCTGGCAGAATTCTACTCCATTGAACACTCTGTTCCATTCCTTTCACTGTTGCTTTAAAAATATTCCCCACCGATGTTTCACCTCAATATCAACCACTTTTCTTCCTTCCAATCTCTGCACTGACCAAATACTCAAACTGATAGATTTCAATCTCCGAGTTCACTGCCGTCCAGTCGTTACTGTAACTTTTTCTATTGTTTATAAACTCATTCCATGGGTCACCCCTCAATCATTTAATCTCCCATGGCCATTCCTCACCACATACATTATCCTAATTTGCCCCCACACCGGTAACTTGACCTCCTAAAGAGAATCATCTCTCAAACCTTAAGCTACACAGACTTTGGTCTCCTGTTCAGAATTCTTCTGAAGCTGCTGACTTAACACAACCAATCCTCACATCCACCTAGGAAACCCTTGTCCCTGGCAAAAGCTAAGTGTTTTTGACATCAAAGCAATATTTTTACAGAGTGCATTATCAAGGAATCCTAGTAAAATTGAAGTCAGTGGGAATTAGGACAAAATCACTCTCCTGGCTGGAGTCAGGCCTAAACAAAAGAAAAATGGTCATTGTTATTGTGGCCAATCATCTCAGTTGTAGGACATTGCTGCAAGTTTCTCAAGGCAGTGTCTGAGGCCCAACCAACTTCCACTGCTTCAATGAACTTCTCTCTAATGCAAGGCCAAAGTGACGATATTTACTAGTCATTGCGAAGTGATCAGTTCCATTGGCTATGCCTCAGAAAATGAAGCAGTCTATTACAGAATTCAGGAGTCATCAAGTGGGAAGTGCTTGGCAATAACCAATACCTCATTGCCCTCTCTGTAGAGAGATGGTTCACTATACTTTTCTCTTTGGCCACCTCTCCTCCATTGGACAGTTCAGTGGAATTAACCTTGTTCAACAGAACTTGCTTGATTTTCTTTAAAAATTATTTCCATTTCAGGTGAATTATTAATTTGAGAAAATTAAAATTCTGTTCCCACACAAGATCCTTGTCAGAAAGACAATATCTAAAAACTCTGTATTGACAAAAGTTTTGGAAAAACAAATGGATATAAATTCTAAATAGAAAAAAGTATGGAAAAAACATAGCAGGCTTTCCAGGGTCCATTTCCAGTTATTTACAATGTCACATATTCCAATAATATGCTGTATTGATACACCTCTGATCAATAATTCAAGTAATTCCAGTAAGTTAACACATTTTGAAAAGAAACCCTGCAAACGTTCTGCACTATTTTGCTATGTAGATCAGGACACAAACATCACGTTCAAAAATAATGTCCATGAAGGAGTAAAGTTTGCAGTGCATTAACTGGTTGATATGCTGAAATCAGTTTTGCACCAAGTTACTTCTTTACAGAAGAATTTAGAGATAAATCCTAAATGGTACGCTTTCAGAACACATGGGTCCTTGTATACATCTACAAAAGATTATAATTTTAACACATTTAAATACTGTCACATGTTAGCATTCTGAGCCAGTCAAGTCCCAGGTTCTACTTCAATTCTGCAGTAAAAAAAAAAATCAGCTAATACAGAATTATTAGAGAAGCGATATGTTCAATGAATATATCCAATAAAAACATTCAAGTTTGCCAAACCCTTGCACCTTTTCAAACATGCAGGAGCATGTAGTTATTTAAAATATTTATATCAATTCTGTCAAATAAATGAACTTTTCTGGCTTGTCAAGACATTCAAAAGACTGTCCTGAAGTCCATGACTACCAGATTAAAATGGTCAGCTTGCACATATTTCTATCATAGCCACTGAGGAAATCAATTTAATGAAACAAATGCAAGATATAGAGGAATACTCCTGGGGAAGATCTGGAAATTACTTTGTACTTGAATAGAAAATAAAAACTCCTTGTTCTAATTTTCTTACCTTTGTTCCTGAAGGGAGTGATCCATTAATATGGTTCAATATGCACAATTTCTTGCCTGGGTGGCCATATGAACATAGGTAGTGAGATTTTGCAGCCAATTTGGCCAAAACTCAATCCTGTCCTTGTCAGATGTCTAAAGCAACATATTTTCCATTAGGATAGTGTTCAGAGGTGGCAAACCTAATTTTCTAGCCCACATCCCACGCACCCCCCCACCCCAGACCTAGAGGAATATGAAAGCCAGAGTATCTATTCCCCACCTTGACAAAAATCAGCTGACTCAGCAAAAATAACAGCCTGAACCTGGAATGTTCCCCCAGTAAAGAGGTCGTGGGTAGGGTACCTAGCCTTTGTTTAAAATACAGGCAACTAGAAAAATAAACTATCCACAAGGCAGGCTGGGAAGAGGAGAAAAACCTAGGCTGAACGTCAACCCACTTCCAAGTGAATCTCACCAATGCAAGCTCAAACTGAGTCCAATCAAAGGTAAACCATGGTCAGTTAAATCCACCTCCTTTGGCTCAGACCAATCTCCAATCCTGACCGAGCGATCAGGACTTGGGGCTAAGTCTTTTTTTCCTTTCTAGCTCTGCTTCTGAACTGAAAAGCAAAAAAAGAAGTTTTATTCATAAGTTCAGCATTTTAACGGATATTTTTTGTCAATGTATTTATTGCTTTGGAATCTTTTCTTAAAAAAATCTGATGTTTGCTGCTGTGCAAATGTAATTTTCCAGAAATCTGCTTCTACCCACTCAGAAAAACTGAACTGGGGCCTTGCTTGTGCAAAGGGTCGGCAACTACGGTTTGTTCGATTCCATACCTCACACTAGCAGTACACTCAGCAACTGAACCATCAGATGGGCTGCATAGCTTTTAGTATTATGCGAAAAGTACCTTCACTTCCCCTGAAAACAGAGCAATATCTGATTCTCAATGCAAAGATAGACTGAGCAGTACCTTTTAGCTAAGCCAACCAGAATATACTTGCATTTTAACAACAGAATACGAAGTGGCTTTGTGCCACTGAATTTATTTTAAATTTAGAACAGCTGTACGTTGGTTTGGTTGTAAAAATACCAATTAACTTAGGCATATCCTTCATTTTTTAAGATTAAATTGGAAGTGTGGATAAGGATCAATGAGGAATTCTACTCCTGGCTGGAATTCAGAGACCTTTAATGGAAGAGTGTGGATATGGATGTTGGGTTGGAAAGATAACCAGGTAATATCCCACCCGCACTTCTTACAGGTGCTTAGCTTCCTTACATTGAATTGGTAAGCGGGCCTACGAATGGTGACCTAGTGTGCTGTTCTATAAAGGAACCTCATTCCAGAGGCTGCCTCAAACACCAGTCAATGGGTTCGGGGTGGAACTATAGAGAGACAGGCTAACAAAAAATCAGGCAAGAAGAAAAAAAAAATCTAACATATCGTTATCTTCTTAGACAATACCTTGAAGATACTAAGATTTTAACATTTTGACTTTATAAAGGGAATACTTGATGAGGCTGTATATGGTGGAAGTGAAATGTCCTCAGTGTGGCATAGGGATCTTAAGATTAGTTTGCAACAGATCCATTTACAACTGCTTCACAGGCAACTCCAGAATCAAATAATCTATTGAGAATTAATCAGTACTTTGATTTATGCAGTTAAATAACAATGATAACGCCTAATAGAATGCAAAACTTTCAGCTGAGGACTTGGACATGAATATAGATGGTTTTATTAGTAAGTCTGCAGATGATATGAAAATTGGGGGTATTGTTGATAATGAGGAGAATGGTCTCAGGCTACAGCCTGATATTGCTCAGCTAGTAAACTGGGTAGAGCAACGGCGGATGTAATTTAATCCTGATAAGAGTTGCATTTTGGGAGGTCTAGTATGGGAAGGATATATACAGTAAATGGTAGGTCCCCAGGGAGTACTGAGGAACAAAGCGACCTTGATGGAAAAGTCCACTGATCCCCGAAAGTGTCAGCACAGGTAGACAGTATGGCAAAGGTGGCATATGGGATGCTTGCCTTCGTTAGCTGGGGTGTAGAACATAAAAGGTAAGGAATTCTTGTTACAACTTCATACAAGATTTGTTAGGTCATAGATGAAATACAGTGTGCACAGGAGATTCACCTGTCCATTATAAAGACACACTAGATTGGCTGGGTTTGTTTTCCTTGGAGCAGGGGTAGGTGGGAGGTGGGTGGGCAGAAAAAGAAGATCTGACTGAGGTATATAAAATTATGAGAGGCAGAGTAAATTGTGAGAATCTCTTCCCCATGTCTAAGACCAGACAGCATAAGTTCAAGGTGAGGAGCAAGGGATTTCAAGATCTGAGAAAATATATATGGAACTTCCTGCCTGAGAGGGTGGTAGAGGCAAATACTCCCACAACAATCAGGAAGCAAGTTTTTGAGTAATCAAAAAGCCAGGGCATTGAAGGCTATGTGCAGGTAAATGGGATTAGTGTAGT